TTAAATTTTGCTCAAAGAATGATTTTTAAAAAGAGGTTGGTTAATCTTAATATAGTAATCTCTACAGTGTTAGTTATGAAGGAATTTTGCTTTTATTTATATCTCTAGTGAAAGTGAAAAGATTTTAATATTTTACAGGACCTGAATTACAACTCACGCTAGAAATCAGAGTCATAAGTGATTCTGTTATTAGGTTTACTTAGGAGAACTCTCAACCAAGAAATGAGCAGGACGCGTTTCTGAAGGACAGGCTTACAAGGTTAGCATGAGGCTGTGAGGGGAATCAGAATAGGAATTCTTAAACTAGAAGGGACTGTAGAAAAATTCATTAAAAAGCAACAACAAGCACCAAAGTGTACTTAAAGACAGAAGCAAACAAAACAACACAGGGCTCTGCGTGGTTTAACCCGAGCGGCGGGTCCCGTGCAGTCACTGCACGCGTGGCCCCCCCGCATCTGCACCCAGCACTCGGCGCACCCTCCAAGCCGAGTAAACATGACGTGGGACAGGCAAAAGCTGACTGTCCTACGTATCCATGGGGAGAAGGGCAAAGGGCTGTATCCGCCGCGGAAAAAAACTCACACAATTTTCTGTGCAGCATCTTTGTTTTCTTAAAAAGCCTCCCAGGCCTCTAGCCCACACCCCGTCTGTGCGCACCAGGCCCTGAATGCCTGGTATGGACAGGGTCCATCTAGTCTGGCTCTAAATTCACACTGGCCACCAGCGTACCAGGCAGCTAGGAGACACACCGTTTAGACAGCAGTTCTAAAAGTGACTGTGCTGCACTGGTTTTCAAGCTTTAATATCTGTGTCCCAGAGTAAGAAAAACAATTTACACTGTAATCCAGAACACATATATACACATAGATACTCAGGAATATAATTGAAATAAAAATGTCTGTGAAATACTTTTTACAACAGGCCCATTCCTCCCCTCTGCTCCTCCCCACTCCTCTGTTAGAGTATTTAATTTAAAAAAAAAAAAAACCAAACCAACCAATTTCTCTTCACTGGAAGTTTAAAAAACATTTTACTATTGTTTAAACGTGGCTCTTGGGGTCTCAGTCCACAACCAAAGCAGCTTATAAAGTTATTTATAACACTGAAAACTGGTTCCTTTCAGGGATGTGTCTTAGTCCATTCAGGCTGCTATAAAAAAATACCACAAACTGGGTAACTTATAAGCAACAGAAATAAATAAGTTTCTCACAGTTCTGCAGGCTGGGGAGGCCAAGTTCGGTATATCAGCAAGGTCAGGTGAAAGCCCGATTCCTGGTTCACAGCTAGTGACTTCTTGCTGTGTCCTTTCATGGTGGAAGGAGCTAGGGATCTCGCCGGGGTCCCTTTCATAAGGGCACTAATCCCATGTGTGAGAGTTCCACCCTCGGGACCTAAGCACCCCCATAGCCCCACCTACTGTACCTGTGCGGGTTAGGGTTTCAACATAGGAACCGGGGAGATGGTGCACACAAATATTCACACCATAGGCGGGTGCTTCTGCTGTTAAAAAAAATAGCTTTCTTCCATATTAGCACCTAAGAAACTTAAGAACTGAGGAAGTTAAATGACTTCAGGTTGATTATTTACTGTTTCCTTTGTGATATGCCGTTTTAAACTTCTCAGTTCAATTCCTCTTTCCTGGGCCTGCATGGAAAATGTCACTGGCCCTGGGAAGAGTCATACTGATCATGTCTGTCAGAGTTGCTGGCCTGCTATGGTCCTTTTCATAAAAGGCAAGGCATTTTTATTATTTGTTTTAAATTTCTGTTATATTCTAAGAAGTGAAACAATTGTAAATATGTGTAACTCTGGCTGGTGGGGCTCAGTTAGTTGAAGGTTGTCCCTTTCACCAAAAGGTCACTGGTTCAGTTCCTAGTCAGGGCACATGCGAGGTTACAGGTTCAATCCTTAGTCTGGGTGTGTGCAGGAGGAAACCAATCGATATTTCTCTCTCTCTCTCCCCCTTTCCCTTTCTTTCTCTCTCAAATCAGTAAAAACACATTAAAAAATATGTGTAAATCCATGTTTAATTTGTCATTTAAGTCACTTATCACTGAAAACATTCCTTTTCTGTCACATGCATGACTTCTATTCCCAGTTGTCTTCCAAAGAACTCTCCTCAGTGTTTTGGACTGATGCTTCTATAAGTAATCACAAAGCTGTTTCCATATCGGCCATGGGGGATGTCGTGTCTGAAAGCACCATCAGTCTCATTGCCACTTCTTTTCCAGGTGGCAGCAGGTTGAGCTTATGTTGCAATTCATCATCATTATTAACATATTCATGTGTGGGCGTATGAAGGCACTAAGGGGATTTTACATAAATATGAAAGTGTGCTTCATGTCTTTGAGGACATTAAAATAAAATTAAATCAGAAGCCGTCACCATATGCAGTGCTCAATCTGGTAACATGGTGACCATTTGCTGATGCACGATGCTGTATTTCCACAACATTACTGTTTTCAAATGATTCAATCAACTCCTGCCAAGATGTGCAAAAACAACGAAATGAGGAGCCTTTTTCAAAACTGTTTTCCTATTTCTGCTACCAAATTCATCTAACAGAGATAGCTCTTGGAGTAAGTGCCACTTGCCTACTGTGGAAAACACTTTATTTGGCGGCAATGTTGAAACATCCAATATGAATTATAGCCACTTACTGTAACAGAATCAAGGAATCCTATTCTCCTCTTCAGAATCAATAGGAAAAAAATGGTGCTTACACCAGGTATTCTTTCTTTGTAAAGACACATGACAATACGTTTTGTTCCAGGGCACTTCACATATTTCTCAACTAGCAATGTGGTTTAGCCCTCCATTTACCTGATTAGGTAAAAGGTCCATTTGCACCTCAAAGGCCAGAGGCAATATTTTTCACAAATAACTAACCAACTAACTCGACTTTTAACACTGTTTGAATTATCCTTCAGGAAGCGATAGAGAGCATTGCATTTCCAACAGTAAAAATTCACGTATCTTTACCAAGATCTTTACTTAAAATTGTGTATTCAAAGCTGAAGTGCTAGATGTTTTAAAATGTAAGGTTATATAGAGAATATTCTCCATTCATGAAATTATCCTAATGGATTTTTATTTTATTTCATTTTAAATATGTTTTTATTGATTTCAGAGAGAGGAAGGGAGAGGGAGAGAGAGAGAAATATCAATGCTGAGAGCTGCCTCCTGCAAGCCCCCTGCTGGGGATGGAACCTGCAACTCGGGCATGTTCCCGGACTGGGAATCAAACCCCGATCGCCTGGATCCTAGGTCAGTGCTCAACCGCTGAGCCAGGCTGGCTGGGCATTATGATTCTTTACTGGCCTTATTAAAAAACAATATATGTAATTGATTTTATCTGGTAAAAGCATATTTCTGTAGGTTTCTGTGTGTGCCAGAATTAGGCCAGCAATGGAACCCCACTGAACTATCCTCATTAAAATGTAGTTAAGCAGGAGCACGTATGGATACGTAAACACAGAGTAAGCTAGCACTGAGAGCTATCAGACACCCACTGATGTTCAACTGAAGAGTTAACATTTAATATCTTAAGTGTTTTTCCTATTTTTTTTGAAATCTAAGAAAATATCTAAGATGTGGGGAGTACACAGACTTCATGCTTTACCAGTAACTTCCAGAGGGGCAGAAACAGGGCTTCTGAAGAAGCCAAGTGCTACGGTTCTCCTTACGCAGTAACTGAAGTTAGAGGGTCAGTGCATGGTAATGTCTGTGCTATTGCTTCCATGACCAAGCTTTGTCATTAGGCTACTGAGAAACATAGGCTTAAAACAACAACAGAAATAATAGCACCTGATTAACAATAAGCAGATGCATCCTGAAACGCAATACTCTAAATGTGTATTAGGGAAAGAAGTGATTTTGGATTATTAGAATTCCAATAAAAATGTCCACAGCTAAAAGGAGCAGAAAGAAATGCACACATTTTAATTATTTTGGATAGGACGATTTTGTTGATGTTAATGTATATTCGCAGGCTATTGTAATTTCTGTTTTTTTCTGTATTTTTTTAACTGTCTTGTATGAAAAGAAGGAAGGAAGGAAGGAAGGAAGGAAGGAAGGAAGGAAGGAAGGAAGGAAGGAA